ATATCGATATATTTTTGTCAAATTTTTATAATATCTTCAAACATATATTTTATTCAAAAATAATAACATCATCGCTTTCTCAAAATCACATAAAGCCATATTATAACATCGATTGAGATAAAAAAATATAATGAAATATTAAAATCACGATGTATCTCGCTGCATTGCGCGAGTACGCTTCTAGTATTAAGTGATATAGTTGGTTCATTTTAACCTTACTCTATTTTTGCAAAAATGCTATTCATATAAGAAATTCTTTTATATCAGTAGACTTTAAAATACAACCAAAGATAGTAATATGACTTTACTATATATCTTTTATATTAAGTTGAATCAAAAACTTTAAAATAATATAACGAACAATTTATCGATAAAATAAAATTGAATATATGATCATATTTGTTATAACTAAACTTGATTATATGATTATAAGTAAAATAAAATAAAATAAAATAAACCTCTATATATATAAAAGAAGCAATATATTGAGAATTTGATATATTCGAAAACGGAGGTAAGTATATGAAAGAAGAAAAAATGAATTTGAAATCAATCACCAATCAATGTCAATATCAGTATAATATATTAAAGAAGGAACCAAACAAGTAATACAAAATATATAATCATGGTTGAAATCAAAACCATCTAAATAATACAAAATAAGGGAGTATTTAGAAGGGGTAGATATTTTTCAAAACTACAAGAGATTGTACAACTTTTAGTTTGTCCTTTTTTTGGATAACCATCTTTAATAATATATATATATATATATATATATATATATATATATATATATATATATATATATACCAAAAACGATAATAAAAAATAGCATAAAGTTTGACAATAATCAAAACCATAAAATTGGTAGACATTATGGTTGTAAAAACAATTTTGTATATATATAATCTATAAATGTATGATCTATATTTTTATATTCTTATCTTTATTTATATAAAAACAATAATCACGGATAATGAGGTGACAACTTCTAAGCATTAGAAATCATTTTTCCTCACATTATTGTTTACATTCCACATTAGATCAAAGAATGAAAGAGGCATGTGGGAGGTGGATTGTAGCACCGTAGGTCACATAACAATTACTTACTGAACCATCATTAAATTAATTAAGTTTTAAAAACCTCAAAATATAGGATAATGATTTACAACCCAAAATACATAATTTAAAGCTTAATAATTACATAACAAACCATAACATAATCACCGGGGACTTGTCTACCCGGAACATACAAACTATATACAACCCAAAAGTATAACATATACCTATACCAAAAGTAGGCTTCACACGTCAATCCCTAATCGATCATCCGATGTTGTTCTTACTTTTGTCAACTTTCCCTGAAAAGTTAAAACCACTAAAAGGTAAGATATAAAGATTAGTGAATCCATGTGGAAATATGTAGTTACAGTGTGTTAAAACCACTTATTGGTATCTGAATGAATCGAATATCGTGATCTGTGACTCTCATTCAAAATCAGTTCACGGTTGTTCCAAAAATGTGGTATCCAAATTCTACCTTGGAAACATAAAATCCCTTTGTCATTCTTTGCCAGGGTTGAAATTAGTCCACCAACTCTTTCAACCTTGAAATTTTCTTCTCTGACAGCTTCATATTGACATCTTAGAATTTCATTAAGAATGTCGAGGATTATGTATGTTTTCAACACAATGGCTCTAATTGTTCAACTTTTTTCCTTTCGACTAAGCACGTCAGCCACCACGTTCCCTTCCCTGGGTGATAAAGAATTTTACAGTTATAGTTGTTCACAAATTCAATCTACCATCTTTGTCGCATATTTAGTTTTTTCTGATTTAACAAATGTTGAAGACTTTTATGATCAGTAAAAACCGGTAATAACAATATCCCAACACTGCATAGACGATATTTCAGCAACTAGAAGGATTTACTCTGGTCTTCTTCCATTCATACTTAACATTTTTTCTTATTAGTTTGGTCAAAGGTGCAACAATACGAAAGAAATCTTGTATAAATTTTCAATAATACCCTGTCAAACCTAAGAAACTATGAATCTTGGCAGGGGTTCTCGGTACTTCCCATTTCTCAATAGCTTCAATCTTTGTTGGATCTACTTTTACCCCTGTCTCAGAAACAATATGACCCAAGAACTAGACTTCCCTCAACCAAAACTCACACTTGGACAACTTAGCATACAATTTCTCTTTCTTCACAAGTTCGAGAATTAAACGAAGATGCTTGGCATATTCTGCTTCGAATCTTGAGTGTATAAGAATATCGTCGATAAATATAATAACAAATTTATCAAGATATTCATTACATACCTGGTTCATTAAATCCATAAATGTCGCTGGAGCATATGTTAAAACGAACGGCATGACCAGAAACTCATGTTGTCCGTAAAATTCAGATTAATAAAGGGTCTTTTAGTCATTTACCTATTTTTTTTGTTAAAATTACAAAAACATTATATATATATATATATGTGTGTGTGTGTGTGTATATATATATATATATATATAATATAATGTTTTGAGAACCCATTATATTGTGATAACCTTAAGAATTTGCATATCATGTGTTATTTCATATTATTTTTTCCTATCTAGGCATACGGTTTAATGTATTGATTAACATATATTTGTTTCACATTGTGTTTGTTTTATATGTATACAAAACTTTTTTACGTGTATTTTTTATTCACAACACGTCAAAAAGGTTCACATTACAAATTCGAGCACATGTGAAACAAACACATTATGAAAAAATTATATGGTAATCAATATTCTAAATCCTAGTTTTAGATGGAAAAAATCATATGAAATAACATAAAATGCACAAGTCTTTAAAGTTATCACAATTTCATAGGTTCTAAAAGAAGTCCCCTATACACACTAACGCATGTAGTCATCAATATTTATTAACATATATGCATCAATTATATGTTACTTAGCAAGATTTTAATAATACTTTATTATTTTTACGGGCCTTTTTATATATCACATAGACACTAAAATTAATGTTATATTGTAGAGTATAACACTTTATAACTTGTGAAAAACTATTAAAAAATATAATTTATAGGATCATTTTTACTAAGTTATTATTATATAGTTCATATATTTATATATAACTACCAATTATTTTTCAACAAAATAAAATAATTTATGATTTTGAAAAAATAATGCATCAATAAATGTGTGGGCACGCGCAATAAATGAAAATGAAGCCAATTATTTTTCTAACAAAGTAAAATGATTTATGATTTTGAAAGAATAATGCATTTGTTCCAAAAATAAATGTGTTTGATGAAAATGAAGCGTCTATGTGGATCATTACTGAAAGGCGACGAAAGTAGGGTTAAACTCTCGCGCATCATTACCAAACTATGCATGTAAGTAAGTTCACTTGATGATTGGTATTACTGACTGTTCCATAAAAAGCTAAATTGCTAGTTGTTTATTCATATTACCACAGATGATGAATACAAGTTATTGTAATTTTCCATATCACACATAGATCAAACTTTTTTGTTGGAGAACAATACAACATTACAAAGGTACGAAATAAAGATCCAATTTCCAGCACAATGGTAATCTGAATTCGATTTTGAAAGCATTGACAGTTTGGAAAACAAATTGGAGATTTGAGACTCAAGGATAAACTTCAAAAACTGAAAGATAAGTTTGAATCTTTTTTGTGGTGTAACGAGTAAATCCAGCCTCATGAAACAGGTACGACCATTCTTCCAAAGTGCGCTCCTTCCCGTCACTTGTATGAGCCATCATCACCATATCAAGCAACAATCCCATCTCTTTGAACTCATCATCTTCTTTATGTCCTATAATCGTGTCTACGATAATCAACTTTCCTGTATCTTGAGGAATAGCCGCTCGACAATTTTTTAGTATGTCAATGCATTTTTCATCTGTCCAGTCATGTAGTACTTTCTACAATAATAAAGCAAAACCATCATATGAAATATAATTACATAATATTATACATGGTGTGGTCTGATAAGAACAAGGTAGAAATCGGCAAAAACAACCTACTTACAAAAGTTTTGCTTGCAAGTGTTACAAAGGTAATACAGAAAAAGGATGCATGCATAGATTATTTGCATTACTTAAAGCAAGCGTCAATATCAAGAATTTCAAAAAAACTTAATACTTTAGATGATAGGACTTACCAACAAATAAACGGCATCAGCTTTTGGAACATAATCAAACATATTGCCGCTAACATGTTCAACACCTGTAGATGTAGGAGCCACTGAAACCACATGAGGGAGATCATAATTGATCCCTTTGATCCAAGGACAAGCTTCCACAATACACCGTAGAGCCGTCCCATCACCACCACCAACGTCCACCATCGTCTTTAACCCTTCAAATACCCCTGGACAACCTTCAATCACTGCTGCCATCTCCACCCGAGTAGCACATGCCATTGCATCGTTAAAGAGCTTACTGTGACCAGGATTTTCCACATTAAATCCCCACAGATCCTTGCCATGTGTTGCCTCAAAAGGCGAGTTCCCGTTACCCAAAACCCAAGCACTTAGTTTGTGCCATGGAGCCAACATGATGGGACTGGTCTCTAAGAGCACCAAGTCGACCATGGTATTTTCTCCATGCCTTGTTAGAAGCCGAGACAAAGGGGTTTGAGCGTAACCAACAGATGTTTTAGATAATGGTTGCTCTTGAAAAATCTTATAGTGGATCAAGAACCTCATTATCCGATACAACACAGACTGAGAACAGTTGAGCTTTGACGCAAGTTCGGCAAGCGTCATCGGGGTTTCATGGTTCTCGAGGATATCAGGTATCCCGAGATCAATGGAACACTTGACAAGAGCCATGGGAACAAAACCAAAAATATATTTCCATATTTCTTGTTGGGCCACTGCTTCTTCTTCTTTGGAAGAGATTCTCTTCTCTTTATTCTCTGTGACCATTTTTCACTCAAAATGAATGCAAGAACATGAGAATCGAAGATCCTTTAAATAGCAAAAAAGCTTGCATGTTGGGATTTTATTTAATTTGTTCATTTCTTTATTTAGGGAGCCCACATGTATTGGATATTATTTTTCATCTAGCTTAAATCATTTCATTTATTCGATTTCCTTTTTACTTATTCCCTTTAATTAGTATTTTATTATTTTCCCAGTTGGTTTAATTAGATCTTATATTTCCTTAAATGCATTAGGATTTCTCTTTCTTCTCCGATAAGATAAATTGTTTAATGGAAGTTTATGAATTAATTACTGATTAAGTTTGAGTTTTCTGGTCCATCCCTAACATCACATACAACGAAAACCATTAGTAGCTAGTCAGAAATCGACAAAGAACTAACAAATAAGCTTGAAACCAAGTTAGTTGAATTCATAATTTGTATTACTTAAAATTTCATACAATGTCAATACTATACAGTATACACACACACACACACACAGAGAAAACGAGGGGGAAGATCAAACGAGAAGACAATTAATTTGTAAAAAGCCATACATTTGAAGATCAATTATAACTTTTTACTATAAATAGGTAAAATTAACATACTTTTTTTTACTTGTATACATTTAATATAAATTGTTTCGCTGGTTCTAGCCATACACAACTAGTAGAGAAGGTAGTAACATTCAAAATGCAACATTTGGTGCTTTTTTGCAACTCGACCTCTAAAGTTTTAGATTTTATGATTGATCCAAAAGTAAATAATCAAAATCTCAAATTTATCCTTAATTAATGCACAAATATTTAATCTTTGTGAATAGAAAGAAATTAAATAAGGGAAAAGATATCATTTGTTTAACAAAAAAAATTATAATAATTATGCATGTGTAAAAATGTATGCATTTCAATTGTGGACACTTATTTTCGGACGGAGGGAGTACTACAATTTCCGTGGATGATAACCGGTATTTCACCACTTTATTACTTGAAAGACGGTATTAGGCCATATTGTATACTTTCTTTTGGTTCCAAGCTTCATATGTCTAAGGATGTGTAAATAGCTCCTAGCAGTAGCTATCGTTAATCATCACCAGATTCAGTTTCCATACTTTTCTTACTAAACTTGATAGCACGCCCTAATTTAACAACTGGGTTTTTGTGGGTTTTCCTTGATTATGTGTAAATTTTGTAGGAAAAAAATTGTTTTAAAAGATTTAGGTAGATGTTAAGCAGATGTTCACAAATTCAGTGTACACATGCAACTTATTAGGTAGAAGTAGCGTGGGGTTCACACTTTGAACTATGGGTTAAAATTGAAATGTCGTTTCACATGCACTATGAAACCACAAAATACTGTTGTTGGGTTAGAACGTATGTGTTAAAACAAGTACTGTTTCACATTGTGAAACAACACGTCATTGTTGATGATGGGTTAAAATTTGGTTACCATATGTGTTAATGAATGGGTTATTATATTATATGAACAATGCATAGGTTAAAACTGAAAAACACAACATATATATTGATGTTAAATAATGTAGTGAATATATGTGTCAACACAAGTGTTGTTTTATATTGTGAAATAACACAACGTTGTTAACACGAAACACTTTAGTGTTGTTTCATGGCTAGAAATAATACACACGTTAAATCATTTGTGACGTTTGATGTGATAACTTGCACGGTTAAAAAAATACTTAATAAATAAAGATATTAATGTCGAATAAAAGTAAATAAAACACTCATTCTTACGTGTAATTGTTTGATTTAACTATTTTTTTTAAATGAAATAATTTAGATTAAATATATAAAAAGTGTTATATATAAAAAAATTCAATATGTTTGTAAAATGTGAAAGAAGATATTCAAGGAATTGAAGATGATTAATATTTTTCTAAATTAGAAGGGTATTCGTGTAATGCATCGAGATACATTTTCATTTTAATGATTCGTTTTATTTTTTATCTATGTCGATATAATACGATTTTATGTGGTTTTGAAAAAACGATAATGTTTATATTTTTGAATAAAATATAAATTTGAAAATATCATATAAAATTTGCAAAAAAATCAATATTAGTATCAAATTAACTATTTAAAAGTTTTTGTTTGTTTTTTTTTTTAATTTAATTTTTTATTATAATTTAATTTAACGTAACG